CCCCCCCCCCCAAACCACAGCCCCCCCCAGCCCACCGCTCCACAGCCGGGCTCCGGCCAAAGGCCTCGTGCCGGGGCCGTGCCGCGCCCCCCCGCCCCTCACCTTACACGCCTGGTAGCTCTCGAAGGCGCGCAGGGCGCTCTCCGTCAGCTTCACGTGGAAGACGGAGACGCGGGTGCCGCGGCCCAGCCGGCCGCAGGACAGCCCGTACCCGCGCTCCGCCTGCAGCGCCGCCATCTTGGGACCGTCTCCCCCTCCGCGCCTGGGCCGCCGGGGCCTCCGCTGCCGCCACGCCCCTCTCGTGCATTATTCATGAGAGTTCAGAGGCGGAGCTCCTCGGGCTCCGCCCATCCGGGGAGCCTGTTGCTGGGGGAAGGACGTGGGCAGAGCGCGTTCCCATTGGTCGAGCTCCACGGGACGCCGCGGCGGAGTGGGTGACAAGAGGGAGGGGCGGGGATATGCAAAAATGACGACCGCGGGGCATGGCGGGAAGGGTGGTTTGGGGCGGCCGCAGGGGGACTCAGGGGCTGCGGGCGGGCGGTGCCCAGAGGCGTTTGGGGAAACCCCCCCTCCTCCTCCGGCCGGCACAACGCCCCGAGGGGCCCGGGCTCGCTCTTCCCGCAGAGCACCTTGCCCCTGGGCACGGCCTGGAGGTACGCAGGCCCCCTCCCACTAAGGGCAGGGGGAGCCCCCCCCCAGGGGCAGCCTTTGGGGCCGGAGTTTGTTTTATTCCCACGTGCGTGACTCCCCCCATCCAAGCAGCTTCCCCACTGCCCCCCAATCAGCCGCTCCCAGCCCCCGTTGCAGTGCTGCACCTCACGGTGGAAAGAACAAGGCCCGGCCGTGCACGAATCGTCCTTTATTGGGGAGTTCACAGTCAGTTGGGGGGGGTGGGGGACAGTGCGTATGGCCCCTGGGAGCAGAGCTGAGCTGGCGGCTGTGGGCCCATGGCTGCGGGGAACTGCAGGGCAGAACGGGGACCCCACAGGGCCAGACCTACAGGATCAGCCAGGACACTGCTATGATGCTTCGTGTCCTTCACCCCACGGGGTTCTTTGGCTCTCTGCAGGCATTGCACGCTCTGTGGAAATGCTGAGGGGGGAGCGGGAGGGCAGAGCTGGGGCATTGCACGTGCCCCAGGCACCCCACATCCCTTACAGTGGGCTCACATCCAGCCAGCTTCCTCCAGCAGCCCCATAGCCAGGAGCACAGCAGTGCTGGGGCTCGCTGCACCCCCCCTGGGACACGCTGCTGGGGACAGTCACTGCGTGCAGCACTCACGGGAGGTCAGGCTGCCCCTGACGCATTCAGGGCTGCGGGGTCTCTGCTTTGCCTGCGGCTCTGTCCCCAACAGGACGAGGTTTGGGGGTGCTGGGTGACGGTCAGGATAGGGGGGACGTGGTACCTCCTGCCAGGAGAGCATCTGTGAGTCCACAAGGAACGGGGAAGAGAGCAGAGCCTCATGGACCCCCTGGCAGGAGTGAGGCACATCCCAGCGCCGGGCTCCCCACCGCCGTCCTCAGTTCCTTGCAGCGATGACCACAGACAGGGCCACGCCACCAAGCGCGATGGCTGTCGCACCGAAGAGCCACTTCCAAGGGATGGACTGAAGAAGAGAGAAATCAGCAATGTGACGGGATGACAGCCTGGATGTGCAGCCCTGCCTGCTGGCACAGGGCCGTGGGGCAGCGCGCAGCTCCCGACACATCCGAGATAACACAGCCCAATAAGGCAAGTGCTGCGTCGGCTCTGCCCGGCGCGTGGCCGGCACGTCCGAGGGGACAGCATGTGCTGCCCAGCTGACAGTGCTTTCCACCTGCACGGCCAGCTGGGAGCAAAGTCCAGAGCCTCCAGCTGCCATCGCCAGCCAGAGCAGCGGCAGCACCGCAGCGATCAGCAATTTCCTGGCCCTCAGCCTGGGCTGCTTCACTTCAACGGCCCCCTGCCCAGGAGCAGCACCACGCTGGCCCTAAGGGACGCAGCCCCTGTAGTCCCCAGGGGTGTCTCCAACTCTGCCATCCCTCTGTATGCCAGCACCAGCCCTTACCCAGGTCAGCTTGTCTTTGCACTTCACCGGGGCACTGCTGGCTCTGGGATTCCCAAGCATCTTCCTGTACATCTCCGTCTCCACCGTCTTCTGGTCCGCGTGCTTCTTCACCAGCTTTGAGAGCTCAGCATGGATGGTCTGGGGAGCAGAGTGCAGCACAGTGGTTATCAAACCCCGGGTGGAGGGGAGGGGACAGGGACAACAGTGCAGATAACAGCAGGCTGGGCCCCCCCCAGTCCTCAGAACCTTCATCATCCCTCTGGAGCGATCCTGCCAAGCCCTCCTAAAAATGCAGTTCTGAGCTCTACGCGTGCCCCATCTTTTTTGTCCACCAAAGCTTCTCCTTGCTGACAGCCTGTTTCGTATGGAAGTGACATGAAGGAACAGCTGCTGGCAGTGCAGAGAGGAGCCTGAAGCTGATGGCAGGCATCAGGAGAGGATTTTCTCCTTTAATCGAGGCGGAAAAGTTTCTGCCTCAGGGACAGACCAGCCAGAGCTCTCCCACATTTCCGTCAGGAAAAAGGCTGGGCAAGCAGGCTTACACCAAGAATGCTCTGAAACCAGACTGTGGCAAAACCTGGACGTCCTGCTGCATCCTGCACCATGGGACCTGCTCCGCAGTGGAGGGCCAACATCCCCAGCCTGCAGTGGCTGCAGGATGTGGTGGCAGCAGCACAGCAATGCCACAGCCATGCTGTGCCCTCTGCTGGGGATGCTGCCCCAAAGCAGCAGTACAGCGAGCAGCCAGGGCACTGCCAAGCCATGGCACCAGCAGCAAACACACCCCAGCAGCTCGCTGGGTTTGGTGTTTTGGTGTAGGACAAACAGCATCTCCCTAAGGGTGAATTTCTGAGGGGTTAGAAAGGGACGTGAAGGTCTGCACCAGCTAGGAGGTGCTGGCAGCCCCGGACAACCAGGTTTCCTCATCCAAGGGCAGGTGGAGCTGAGCATTTCTCGAGTCTGTTTTCACCAGCAGCAGCCATAGCTGTGACTCACCAATGTGTGTTTAACACTGCTGTCTGGAGCAGCACTACCACATCCCTGTGAATCCCAGTAAGCAGCTGGAAAGGCCAGTAATTTGTTTGTGGTTTCACCAGTAACGTCACTGCTGGGCATTTTGATTTTTGCTCCTTTTCAATTAAAAGCTTCACTCCGGTGAGCTGATGAGCTGCAGCCCTGCCAGCAGCAATGACATGAAGGACAAACAGGGAGAGCATCCCTCATCCCTGTAGCCCCAGCTCTGCTCCCCTACCTCCTCCATGCTGCCCAAGACTTTGAGATCCCACATGCCCTTCCCCAGGAGGGCTCTCAGAGCAAAGCTGCCTGGGTGCTCTGAAGGCCACTGAGCACCTGCAGTCCCCACGCTGCCCATGACCTTCAGGCACCAGGGAACACGAGGTGAGCTGTGATGTTTTGGTGAAACGCCCACAGAGGCGGATAAAACTGAGGAGCCAATGCAGGAGCAAAGCCCCCACTGCAGGCAGCACCTCCCCTGCTGCTCCCAGCCCCGCTTTTGCTGGGGCCATTTCCTGGCACTGCTGAGGCTTTTGACTTCCCCGAGGCTTCAGTCCTGCAGCTGATCATTAACCGACAGGAAATTCCTGACCCACAGATTGCTCCAGCCCGGGCGCTGGACTGAGGTCTGGGCTTGCTGGGGCCACCCAATGAATCACACTGCAGGCTGCTGGGTGAGATGGCAACAACTTGCTCTGCCTCGCTTCTCGCAGCAATGGCACAAGCCAGCAGACCGTGCAGGCAGAGCTGCTGAAGCAGAGATGGGCTGGCAGAGAGCCCTGCTACCACAGGGGCCAAAGGGCATAAAGAGAGTCTCGCAACGTGGCGATAAGGAACCCACGAGCTCAGCCGTGTTCAGGTATTGCAGCACTGGGTGCTGGCACTTGGTACAACACCCCACGGCTGCCCCAGCCCTGCACAGAGGAGACTGGTGACAGCTACGGGGGGCACCGAGGCTTGTAGGAACACGGCCACAAGGACAGAGCCCTGAGGACACCCAGCCTACCTTGTTTGAAGGCTCCAGCTTCAAAGCCGCCTTTAGGATGGGGATGGCCTCTCTGTACTCGCCCTGCTGGGCCAGGACCTGGAAGGTGAGGTGGGGGTTGAGGGAGGTGACTGAGGTGTGGTCCCCACCCCTCCCCAGCCCTGCCACACAGCAGGGATGGCAGCACCTCACCTTGCCCTTTCGGAAAAGTGCCTTGATGTTCTCTGGCTGGTGCTCCAGAACAAGGTTACAAGACTTCAGGGCTGCCTCATAATGGTCCAGTTTAAGCTGAGAGGCTGCCAGATTGTTGAGACATTTCACCTTCACGTCCAGCAGCTCAGCCTCTTCATCTGGGGTGAAATCAACTGCAAAGACCCCAGAGGTGGGTTACAACAGGAAGGAAGCGCAGGCAGCCCTCACTCACAGCAGCAGCAGGTACCTTTTGAGCTGGAGCTGATGACTTTGAGAGCGATGTCGTAGGAATTGATGGCCAGCACATAATCTGCCTGCTGGTAGTAGAAGTTGCCTCGTTCCCTCTTGCGGTTGGCCAGGCCTATCTTCTCCTTCCCACTGAGCAGCTCCAGGTCTGGTGCATCCCGAGCCTCCAGCAGCTCCACCTCCAGTGTGAGTGCTGCGTTGGGTGGGATGTCAGGGCTCCTGCAGCGGCACAAAGCCATGCTCAGGCCTGGCTCTGCTACAAACCGCCAATCCCAGAGGTGACAGCAGAGCCACAGGGGCTCCCCAGCAGTACAGGCTGTAGTAGAGGGGACTGGGGATAGCTGTCATAGCCCTGTTTAGGCCTACCCTATTTCATTCCACGCTCTCCATGCTCACCTGCCCTGTACACCATAGCAGTACTTGGCATCTGACATAATCAAAGCCGTTTCTCTCATCTCCATAAGCTGTACGCAGAGGTCCAGAGCCTACAGGGAGCAACGTTGCAGAAGAAGGTGAGCAAAGGGGCCAATCCTGCCTCCAACAAGGACATGGCAAACCCTAAGTCTCCCCCCAAGGCGAAGATGCACACATCAGGGCGGCTTCCTCCAAGCCCCACCTGCAATACGTCGCAGTCTCCCAGGGTAAAGGTGAGGCTGGGGTTCTCCTCCACCACACTGCCATCCTCCAGCATGGCCCTCAGACGGACAGTCACATCCTGGCCCTTGCGGGGCCGGCTCTCCACCCCCTGACCTGGCACGAGTGTCTTCTTCTTAAGCAAGCCGCTCCCTGGGCCAAGAGAAGCCGGAGGTGATCAGCACACAGTAGGGAATGGGAGAACCCAGCTCCCAACCCAACCTCAGCCTCCGTGGTGGTCAAAGCATCCTGCGAACGCCCTGCCGCCCTCCTGCCCTGCTCTCACCCAAGACGTCGAGCCACTCCTGGGGCTCCTCGGCTGCTTCCCCTGGGCCTCGCTCTGAGGACTGGGCGCCCTCCCGCAGCGGTCCCCGCGCCCGTCCCACGTCCTCCAGCGGCGGCAGCTCGCTCAGGTCGTCCTCGTCCTCCTCCAGAACCTCGAAATCCTCCGCGCCGTCCAGCTGAGAGGCGCCGACCGCGGCCGGTTCCGGGCTGGGCGGTTCGGTGCCGCCGCCTGCCCGGCTCGGGGAGCCGCCGCTCGTCTCCTCCCCGCTGGAAGCCATCGCGGCAGAGCAGGGAGAGCGGCGACCTGCGGGAGAGAGGAACAATCGGCGCTACGGACACCGCGATGAGGCCGCCGGCACTCCCGGAGCGCACGGGGCTGTCCCGGCAGGGTTGTCGGGGCCGGACCGGGGAGGCCCGAGGCACCGGTTCCGGCCCCTGGAAGCGCCGCCCCGCGCGCCCCGCTCCACCACGTGCTTTTCTCCCGCGCGCGCGCGCCCGGCGGGGGTCCCCACGTCACCGCCCCGTCACACGCAGGGACTCCCCCTATAGCAACGGCCGCCGCGCGCCCCCGCCGCTCCCACCTACCCGCGAACTCGAGGCCGCCGGCCCCGCCCCCGCGCTCCCATTGGACCGCTGCCTCCCGCCCCACCGATGCCATTGGGTGGCGCCGACGCTCCTCATCGACGCGTCGAGAGCGGCGCGCCGCGGACTTAAAGGGGCCGCCGCACCTCACCTGCTCCGCGGGCCCGGCACCCCCGCCAGGCCGGTGTCCCCGCCGCCCGTAGCTCCGGTAGCTCTCGGTGCCCCGCCGCCGAGGGCTGTGGGTGCCGGAGGCCCACAGAGGTTTCCCGCAGCGCTCAATCCCCGCGCGGCCGGGCCGTCGCCCGGGAGACCCCCGGCTCTGTGCTCCGGTACGGAGGCGGCCCCGCAGCTCCCCGTTTCCCCCTCGGCCCAATCTCCACCACTTCCGGCCCGGCTCCGTGACGCATGCGCGCGGTGACGCCACGGGGTCGCGCTCGACGTGACCCCGCACCCGGAAGCGAGGCGCGGCCGCCGGTGCCGCTCCCGTCATGTGAAGGGAGAGGGAAAGGAGCGGCGCCCGGTGCTGCCGCGGGAGGGGCGGGGCTACCGAGAGGGGCTCGAGCCCGCACCGTTATCGGGAAGCGGGCGGGGGGGGGGGGGGGCTCCGTTACCGGGCACGGCGGGGGCCGGGGGTCCCGCGGGCAGCGGCGCGATGGAGCCCACGGCCTCACGGGTGTTCTGCGGGCGGGTGCTGGGCATGGTGAACGCCGAGGACGTAAACGCCATCATCCAGGCTCAGAAGAACATGTGAGTCCCGGGGGAAGCGGGGTCCCGTGCGAGCGGCAGCCCTCGGTGCCCCCGTGTAACCGTGGGAACTGCCGCTCCCCTGCAGGCTGGATCGCTTCGAGAAGACGAACGAGATGCTGCTCAACTTCAACAACCTGTCGAGCCTCCGCATGCAGCAGATGAACGAGCGCTTCCTGCACCACACCAAGACATTGGTGGAGATGAAGAAGGACCTCGACAGCATCTTCCGTCGGATCCGGTAGGTGGAGGTGGGAGGGGATGGACAGGAGGCCTCGGGGGACCTCGAAGGGATTTGTGTGGGTCCGTCTGTGAACCCGGCTCTCTCCTCCCGCAGGGCGCTGAAGGGGAAGCTGGCCAAGCAGTACCCGGAGGCTTTCAGCAGTGAGTGGTTCCATCGGTTCTCTTCCCCCATGAAGGTTCCTCCTCCTCCGAATGTGCCTTCCGTGCTGCCTTTGGGAGTCGGGGCCTTTGGGACTGCCAGCACGCAGTGCTAAGAATCTGGGGAGCTTTTTTCTTATATTGAATGCGGATGCAGGAAATTGCAAAGCCACAAATGGCTTCTCATTTAAGTGGGATCCGTTTTTTGTTGATTACTGCTACAAGCAAAGGAGCAAATGCTTCTGCCAAAGCCCCCCCCATAGCCGGCCTTGCAGCGCATCGTGGTGTTGTGTGCAGCTGAGGCAGCTGTTAATCTCTGCATCTTTCTTTCCAGACATTCACGAATCTCCCATTCTAGAAGATGACGATGACTTCGACCCGGTTCCAAAGAGCACGACAACCACCATTGCTACCTCTGAGCAGAGCACGGAGTCCTGTGACACGAGCCCTGACATCATCTCTCCCACCATGAGTCAGGATTTTGAGGATTTATCACAGGGCCAGTACGATTTACCGGCTGTGAACGGACAGAGTCTGACAGACGAAGACACTGCCAACGACCTGGACTAAGGCACGTGGCTCTGCCCCATCCCTGGGGCCCCCGAGAACTCTCTATCTTGTATTTATATTTGTGTGTTCCTTTGGCCATTTATTTTTGGGAAGAGATGGCTGAGTGAAGAAGGGGGTGAAGGGTCCCTCCGACTGCCTCAAACCTGCTATTGTAGCGCAAATCCTGCAACTTAACATGGGCAAATGAGTAAAACGAGGATTTGAAAAGCCTCCTGTCCTTTCTTGTGTGCGTGTCCAGAAGAATCAGAGGTGGATGGCGAGCTGGATACAAGCCAGCAGTGTGCCCTCACAGCTCAGGATATGGTATCCTGGGTATCCAAAGCAGCGTGGCCAGCAGGTCGGGGAGGGAATCTGTTCCTCTGCTCTGGTGAGACCTCACCTGGAATGCTGCGTCCAGATGTGGAGTCTTCAGTACGGGAGATGCATGGAAACGCATCCAGAGGAGTGCCACAATGGTGGTCTGAGGGATGGAACAGCTTCCCTGCAAGCACGGGCTGAGAGCAGCCTTCACCTAACTAATGGGGCTGTAGGAAAGAACGGGGGTCTCTTCAGCAGGGTCTGTTGTGGCAGGGAAAAGGGGAAAGGCTCAGCGTCCCTCGCTGTCCCAACCTCGGCTGTGCCCCCCTCCCCCCCCCCATCCCACAGCCCCACCAGCAACGGGGTGGGCGCCCGCAGCCCGTGCTTGCAGGGAAGCTGTTCCATCCCT